GAAGCAGCGCGTCGGTGCGCGCCCGGGATCCGAACCCGGGTCGCCAGCAGTGGAGCGCGCTCACTTAACCACCAAGCCACGGGGCCGGCCCAAGCACTGTCATTTTTAAATAAGACAGAGGGTCATCTATATGGTTCACAAAAGCTCTCACAAAATAACTGTAAGAGTTCTGCCTGATGAATAGGGTCCGCTAATTGTGCTTGTCCTGACTATGGTCGGACAAGCTGAGCCGGGTGGAACTGCTTGGGGAACGCTGCATGGAGAAGGTGGATTGTTAAGAAAAGGGGGACGTGGTTTGGCAGATAGGCAAACGGGTCTCAGGCAGGGTGAATGGTATACATAGGAGAGAGGAGGTCCAGATAAAGGAGAGGGCACTGAGGGCCAGCACAGAGACCTGCCACCCCTGAACCCTGCCGGCTCAGAGAGAGCCCTGACTGTGCCGTTCTGGGCAGTTCTCCTTAGCTGGAAAACTGGAACCCTGGCTCATGGCATCCTGCCAGCTGCCTGCTTCTTAAACCATACCTTGAAAGGATGGGTTCGGCGAGTTTTCAGATTCTTTATCAAATCTATTGATGGGAAACATTCTTTGATTTTTTTTTTTTTTAAAGGTATTGACTGCTTCCGTTTTTCTTAATGTTCTTGCCCTCTTTTTCACATACTTATCCCTACCACCTTCTCCCCCTCCTCCCAACTCGAGACTCATTCATGGTCTCCTCCTCTGATCTTAGTTCTTTGACATTCTGTTGCCACTTTTCTGAAACTCTGAACCTCATGAGGGCTAACTTTTCTTAGGACAGTGCTTTTGAGGAGGACAGGTAGACACCTAGTGAAATACAAACTGAAACTAATACGTAGAACTGTAGCAAAACTGATTCTACTTGAGAATAAAGAAGGAAGTATTCAGGTAGTCAAGAGAGGGTTGGATGCGATGACCTTTGAGTTCCCTTAAACCTTGAGAGTGTAGGCTGCCTTCTAACCACAGAAACTGTCTAACTGTGAAATGGGACACCTTTGAGGTTGTACCTCGTTCTTGGATGTGATCCAGCAGGGCCTGTGTGGCCACTCTTAGTATGAGAAGATTTCTGCAGTGTGGAGGAGACTGGCTCAAGGGACATCTGGCGCTCATTTTGAGTCCAAATCAGAAGCTCTGTGATCACTCTGTCCCCAGAGTAACGTCAGTTTATGCCGCTTAATGCTGGACCTCATCCATAGGAGCAAAAGGTGGACAGTTACCATTCTCGAGGGGCCAGTTGGTCCTATTATGCAAATCAGAGTTAAGGGAATAGGCCAAGTTCCTTGCTTTGCTAAAAGCCATATTCTTAGGCAGAAGACTGGTGTCTTTCCAAGATCCTGAGAGGAGGGAAAGGGAGGTGGATGAGGTTGTCTTGGAGGCGTTGCTCTCCTTTTAGTTCCGCTAGGGACAGTGGAGTTTGGCTTCTCCTACCCTCGTGGGAGTCCAGCTCAACTCCGTGTCTCTGTGTAGAGTGTTCTCCCGAGGAAGGAAGGATCAGAATTGCTCTCTTGTCTCCTGCAGCCCCTGTGCCCCAAGGAGCTCTGGCACTTCGTTCACCAGTGCTACGGGAACGAGTTGGGCCTGACCAGTGACGACGAGGACTACGTGCCCCCCGATGACGACTTCAACACGATGGGGTGAGCGAGGTAGAGGGCAGGTTGCCCAGGGAGCCTTTCCAAGAGAGGCTAGGATGCTGGTGATGGCCTCACTGGGGAATGACATCTAAGTAAGGCCTGAAGGAAGTGAACCCTGAGGGTACCTGCAGGAAGACCCTCCCGGGCAGAGGGAAGAGCCAGGGGCAGCTGGGTGGAATGAACAAAGGACTAGTGGGAAGAAGAAGGTCAGGGAGATCAGGGGCCAGATTCTGAGGGCCTTTCGCCACCACCATGGTTGGCTTTTACTCAGAGTGGGATGAGAAGCCGTGGGAAGGCTTTGAATTGATAATTGATAAGATCTGACTTAACATTTTAACAGAATCACTCTGGCTCCTGGGTTGAAATAGACCGAAGAGGAGCAAGGGCAGACTGGCTAAGAGGCTATTGAATAATTTAGATCATTTAGATGAGATGATGGTGGTTTGGACCAGGGGCGTAGCAGTAGAAATGGCAATAAATGGTTAGTTTCTGAATATGTTTTAAAGGTAGAAGCAGAAATATCTTGAAAGATTGGCTGATGGATTGGAAAGGAACCAAAGGTGGCTTTAAGGTTTTCTTGAATTTACCAACTAGACAGACAGAGTTGTTTCAAACTGAGATGGGCAATACTGTAGGCAGAGCAGATTTTAGGGGAAGATCAGGAGCTTGGTTTTAGGCAGGTTGAGTTTGAGGTGACTCTTAGTCAAGAGGAGATGTCACATAGGCATTTGTGTATATGAGTGTGGAGTTCACCAGGGAAGTCTGGGCTAGGGACATAAACTTGGGAGTTATTAGTGGATAGCTGTGAGATAGGCTGAAACCACCAAATGACTGAATGGACATGAGGAGGAGATCAAGGATGGGGCTTAGGAACACTCAACAAGAGGAAGAAGCAGCAAAAGAAATCATGAAAGAACATCCAGTGAGGTGGGAGGAATACTAGGAGAGTTTCGTATCCTAGGAGCCAAGGGAAGGAAGTTTTAAGGAGAAGGGAGTATCACTGTGTCACTGCTGTTGATAGGTTAGGAAAGATGGGACCCCAAAGGGATACAAGCATGCTTGAGGTTGGAAGGTAGGTGGAGGCTTGGTGATAGTGTGAGAGGCACAGAGGAATAGAAAGCAAGGGAAGAACATCAATTGTGTAGTATGGACACCTGGGATCAGGTACAATTTCTGACACTTAATCGTGGTATCACTTAACCTCTGTGAATGTCTATTTGATTACCTCTAAAATACATGTAATGATTTACTCAGAGTTGTTATGCATCCACATGAGATAATTTGTAAACTATAAGTCAGATATTGATGGCGACGATGAGGAGTTCTCCCTTGGGAGAGGCTACAGTGGCATCCATGAGGTGTCCCTAGAATGGCACCCACCTTTATCTCAAAGAGGGTTTCCCTTCAGGTGTACAGTGCAGAGAAGCTCACTAGTTATGATCCACAATCTGGGCAGTACCAGTGAAGGGCTCTCATGTCCAGAGTCCTGTCCTAGTCACTGTTGGGAAATGAAATGTATGCTCACAGCCCAGATGTTTGATTCAAGTGGCCAGGTTGGGATGGGATGGGATGCCAATGGAAAAAAAATAGTTTAAGACAAATAATGATCATATTTAGGTAAGGATAAACCTAAGGAGGGTGCCTGGAAAAGGTGAGCCAGAAATTTTATTAAGGGAGGGTGGTGTAAGGTGGGAAGGCAGTTTCAGGAGAGCAATGTTGGGGGTGCGGGGTGGTTAGAGGAGGATCATATACAAAGTAAAGAAGTAGGAAAGCACATAGTTTTGGCTGGATAGACAGGTCTGAAGTTCTGAGAACACTTGGCAGTCTTGGCCACTGAGGTTAACATGGGCTCATGGTGTCTTTTTTCAGCTATTGTGAAGAGATCCCCGTAGAAGAGAATGAAGTGAATGACAGCTCATCCAAAAGCAGCATAGAGACCAAGCCAGATGCCAGTCCACAGCTGCCCAAGAAATCCATCACCAACAGCACACTGACATCCACAGGGAGCAGCGAAGCCCCTGTCTCGGTATGGGTGGAAAGCCTTTTGCTTCCACCCCCAATCAAGAGGCCAGTGTTTCCTAGCTTAGTCAACTCCACGGAGCCCCAACCTGGGGAGCAGGTAGAAGGGAGATTGGTTACATTGTGGTCAGTCTGTTCAAGGAGGCATCCTGGAGCAGATGGGCTCTCTGCCTTCTAATGGTGTAGTCCCAGGGTGCAGAGCTGGGTTTTCAGTGCTTTGCGTACAAGATTTTGTTTGGCTTCTGAGCAGATAAAAACATTTCAAGTTCATTGTGTGAGCTTTGCTCTTGATAGGCTGCTGCAGATCAGCCCCTCTGGTGGAGAACTATTCCGGGTCTTTTTTTCACTGCCTGGATCTAAAGTGAAAGTCATACATGAATATAGGACTATAGAACTGTTATCTGTTTATTCATTCATTCAATAAATAGTTATTGAGTTCCTAGCATATGCACTCCAATTTATTTTCCTACTGTGCTAGACTTTGTGAAAGAGATACAAATGTGCAAGAAGGACCGCTGTCCTCTAGGACTTGGTTACAGAGGGGATAGAAGCTTGATGAAGAAGAATGTCCAGGTGTAAGCTGATGGGTAGAAGAATGGGTGGGGCTCCTCAGGAAGGATTCCCAGAAAAGGGAGCCTTGTATTCCTGTGGCTTAGGGGTCAGACCACCTGGCCTTAAAATGAAAACATCATTCATTGGATGCCCAGTCTCCATTTTCTGCCTCTGAGGATATCTTTAAAATGTAGAGAATTGTATCTGTTCCCTTCCAGGGCTAATGGGAGAATGAATCAAAAAATACTTAGGAAGCCTTTTGAACTTCTTAGAAAACCAGGTACTAGTGAGAGGCAGGACCCCCTGTTCTAGCACGGTGGGGATGTGGCTCTGGGAAAGCTGTGACTGAAGGAGCCGATGCTGCTGACTTGTGGGGCTTGGTGTGCTGTTTAATGGTGAGCAAGAGAAGGGCAGAACCTTGTACTGTTTTCTCTGTCTTCCACGGCAAAGCTGGGGAAAACCCCCAGAGCGTGACTCCAGCCCGGCTCCTGTTGTCAATGTGAGGGCTCCTGAGGCCGGGTCCCCAACTTCCCTTTGGAGAGTAGGTCCAGAGCAGATTGCCCCTGTTGGGTGACGGCTCTGTCTCCATCCCAGTTTGACGGCCTGCCCCTGGAAGAGGAGGTGCTGGAGGGCGACGGGTCCCTGGAGAAGGAGCTCGCCATCGACAACATCATCGGGGAGAAGATTGAGATCATCGCGCCGGTGAACTCCCCTTCACTGGACTTCAATGACAATGAAGACATCCCCACCGAGCTCAGTGACTCTTCCGACACCCACGATGAAGGTGGGCATTTGAAAATGGGTGCAGAGTGGTCTTTCCTCTTTCCATTTTGAAGGCTAAAAGGATGTCCCTCTGTAGAGACTGGAGTCAGTCTCTGGGTTCCTGGTGGAAAGGTGGGTGGGTAACAGAGCTTTTTAAAAAAAAAAGTGCAGTTGTTATTAGCGTAGGTATCTTTTTTCAGGTACTCACTGCAGGATTCTCATCATTCCATATTTACCTTTCTTTCCTCAACAGATGATGCTCTGTCCTGCCATCCAGTCTTGTCACTAAATGTACCCCTCTTGGCACTGGCTTGCCTTGCAGCTCTGTCCCTCCTAGAGTGCAAGGCAGGGCAATGTTTATATGCCACCAGGAAAGTGCCAGTCAGCTGCTCCCTGGATATAATTAGATTTCAATAGAAACTTGCTTTAGTGACTCCAATGTGGGAATGTCAGACCAGGCTAGAAGGAAAGGTGTTGCTGGGGCAGACAGACTCTGGAGACTGTCTTTCTCTCTAACATTTCTAAATAGAAAGCTTCTAACTTCCCTCCTGCATAGGGTTAGCGTCTAGGACCTTACTCGGGAACATGCTGCTGCTTACATTCTGGGGCGAGAAGCCAAATCTCAGTATTCATGAGTTTGGTTGATGGTTTACCTCCATTGAATTGGTGGTAAGTTGTGACTAGTGAGTGTATGCAGGCAGTGCTCACTCATCCATCTCTGGACAGTCTCTCCTGCAGGTCACCTGTAGTGGTTTTCTCCTTTGGTTGGTTTCCCCACTCCCATCTAGGATGTGGGGCCAGTGCAAATGACTGCACAGGTTGGGTACTGCATAATAATGGGGGTGCCATTCGTGTAAACTAAGAAGTGAACTTTCCCCCCACTGCGCTGGCACGATGTCCATCCTGTACAGTCATAGGGACTGACCCTGTAGGATGCTCCTGAGTTCCTCCCTGGCCTTCTCAGTGTTACAGGGGGTTCCAGAAATGTCAGCATCCTGCTTGAGATCAGATACCGGCCCCTGCAGGCGTGGTAGTTAGGGGCTGTGGGATGCCGAGGGCTCGGAAGGAGCACGGGGGCTTTAGCAACTCGCCTGGACCCTCAGGTATGTTCTGTGGCAGATGGAAACTTCAGAGAATTAAAGGTTATTGAAGTCATGGGGGAAGTAGGCTGCCCTGCGGAAGGAGAGCAGACCTTGTGTAGTTAGAGATCACGGCCCTGCAGATCAGCCCAGCCTTAGAAGGTTTATATAAACAGATTATTACAGATTAATCAGCTTCCCTTGAGCACACCTATGTCATGAGTTGCAAAGACATTGTTTTCAATCGTGATTAACGTATAGACTCTTGATAACTGATCGTTTGGGTTCAGGCAAGCTCAGGAAGTAGTTATTTATTTAAATTTTAGCTGAAGATCACCTTGATTAGGAAGGCTTGAAAGTGTAAAAGCAAATAGTACACTCCCAAACTCTTGTAAAGGTTGAATGAATGGAGTAACTAGAGTAAAGAGCGTGCCAGTGAAAGGAGACTGATGCGAAGTCATAAACAGTGGAGTCTCGGGGCCCAGCTGCCCTACTGCATGGCCTCCCTTGACCCTTGGTGGCTGTTCTCACATTAGCCACAGAGACGTAAGTCCCTGGGGTCACCTGCCTCTTGCGTTCACTGTCTACTTCCTCATCCTCTTCTGTGCAGGAGAGGTCCAGGCCTTCTATGAGGACCTGAGTGGCCGGCAGTATGTGAACGAAGTCTTCAACTTCAGCGTGGACAAGCTCTATGACCTCCTGTTCACTGACTCGCCCTTCCAGCGGGACTTCATGGAGCAGCGACGCTTCTCTGGTCCGTTCTTCCTGGGGCTGTTGCCTCCCATCCCTTCCCTCTCTGTCCACCCTTCTTCCCTCTCTTCCCAAGCACCCGCCTTTTCCAGGCCACCTGATGGCCCAGGGCACCCTCCTCCTGGCGTGTGCAGTGCCGGAGCACCCACAGGGCCCTGCTTGCTGCTCCTTCCCCCAATGCTGCAGCTTTGTGCTCACGCACTGTGCACCAGGCGCTCGGCGCTGGGCCCCCAAGGCTCGCCAGTGAACAAGGCCTCACAGAACAGCAGCTACCACTTACTGGTAGGCACTCGCTGTACCCCAAGCACGTTACTTTATCTCATTTAGTCCTGAAATCCACCCTGTGTGCGAGTATTGTGACCCCCACAGTACCAATGAGGAACTGGAATTCAGACTCTTATTACGTGCCTAAGGGTCATGCAGCTAAGAAAGGCGGAGCTGGGATTCAAATCTAGGACTCTCAGAGTTCATGCCTTGCACCTCCGTGCCCCTGCCTCATCCCCTTGCCCCAGATCTGCCGCACAGCAGGAACTATGACTCTGGCCTCACAGAGCTGCCAAGCATCTGAGTCTGTGAAAGAGCATTTGGGCATCAGCGTACCCCTCTGCCAGGAGGAGAGGGCATGCTGAGGGCACAGGAGGTCATGCCTTAGAGCAGAAGACTTGTTCCCAAGGATCCCAGGCCCTCACCACAGTGACTCCACTGTTGCCAGCACCCCCGCAGGTGGCCCCAAGACCTCCTGCCCCAGCCCCAGGAACAATCAGCATTCTGGAGCCCTGTGTAGAATTTCGGCAATGCTACAATGAGCCTCTTTCTGCTCTGACTCCCCGTCCCCCACCCTCCTCCTCTAGCCCTCCCATTGGCTTCCTTTCGGAGGCCAGTCGGTAGTCAGTACAGTCAAGAGAAGTTCACTTGGATGGGAAATTCAGATGTGGGGAGGGTGTGCCTCTTTCCCTCCCTCATCCCAGGGCTCTTCTCCACCCTCAGATATTATCTTCCATCCATGGAAAAAGGAAGAGAATGGAAACCAGAGTCGCGTGATCCTTTACACCATCACCCTTACCAATCCTCTGGCTCCCAAAACTGCCACTGTCAGGGAGACACAGGTGAGTCGAGGGCAGAGGTAAAAGAGTGAGCTGGAAAAGCCTCTGTTCTGTCATGAAGGATTAAGGACAGATGTTAGGAAGAAGTTTCTGGGCGCAAGTGTTGTTAGCCCTGAGAGGGTAGCGTCTTACGTGCTTAGATGCTGCCATTTCCAAAGGTTCCAGGTCCTCCCCTCAGCAGTCGGGATTGAGGTGGGGGAGATGGGGGAAGGAGGTGCTTTTCCCATCTTGCTCCTTCTCAGTTTGTCCGATGGACCTTTCCTCCCCACAGACCATGTACAAGGCGAGCCAGGAGAGTGAATGTTACGTGATAGACGCTGAAGTCCTCACCCACGACGTGCCGTACCACGACTACTTCTACACCATCAACCGCTACACGCTCACCCGCGTGGCTCGGAACAAGAGTCGACTCAGGTGCAGTGTCTGGGGGGCCTGAGTGGGTTCACAGGGAGTTCCTGGGGCACATGGGGGTCCTTATATTAGAGAACATTCATTAACTCCTCAGTAGGAAGGAGGAGGTTGGGTATATTGGTCTGCTGACTCATTCTTTAGTCTACCTTCTTTCTGGAGCCTCTGAGACACACACCCCTGTATGGACACAGTTAATTGTTCTCTCCACTATGTGTTCTCTTACCACCGTGTACATCTCTTTGGTAAAACTTCCATAACTACTGCTATTTATTGCTTGTCTGTAGTTTATAAAGTACTGTGTAGGTGCTTACCTACATGAACTGGAATCTATAGAATGACCCAGGGAGGTGGATTTGTCCTCATTTTTCAGATAAGAAAACTGAGGGTCATTTAAGTTAAGTAACTTTGTCAAGAGTCATATGCCCAGTAAGGGCTGAAACCCCGGTCTTAGAAACGCAAAACTGTGCTCTTTCCACCACGCTATGTGTATTGTGATTTCCCGTCTCCCTGTTAGACGGTGAGCTCCTGGAGAGCAGGAATCCCATTCCATTCACCACTTACTCCCAGTACGCAGCACAGGGCCGGCGCATAGCCGAGTCCAGAAACGTTGATTGAACGAATAGTTAGAATGCTGGTTGTGGGTAGAGTCCGTGATGGGCACTGATGTGCATTTGAGGAAGGCAGAAATTTAGACCCTGACATTTTAAGCAGCTTGTAGTGTAACTGAAAGGTCAAAACACACACCCATTTGAAAAGAATCAGACTGTACACCTGATCTTAGACCAAATTCTTTTGGTTGTACAGAGCAGAAATTTCCTCATAGTTCAAATAAAATAGAGATTTAGTGAAAGGCCACAGAGAGATCTTTTAGGAATCAGGAAGCTCTGAATACCCACACCTCAAAAAGGGCCTGCATCTTTCTCTTCCTCTTTTTTTTTTTTTTAAATTTAATTAATTAATTTATTTTTCCCCCAAAGCCCCAGTAGATAGTTGTATGTCATAGCTGCGCATCCTTCTAGTTGCTGTATGTGGGACGCGGCCTCAGCATGGCTGGGGAAACGGGGTGCCTCGGTGTGCGCCTGGGATCCAAACCCGGGCCACGAGCAGCGGAGTGCGCGCACTTAACCACTAAGCCACGGGGCCGGCCCATGATTCTATTATACTCTACTTTTTTGTGTTTGTGTGTGAGGAAGATCAGCCCTGAGCTAACATC